ATATATATATATATATGTTTTATTTTAATTAGGTGAATTGTGTTCGGTAATTAACGATTTATATAGATCGAAAGAATTCACCCTACATGTACATACACAGAGAAAGAAACAAGATCAGGTCAAGAGGAGGAATGCGAAAAAGCTTCAGTATATATATATATATATGTATATATATACTAACATACGATTGATCTTTAAGGGATTGCACGTAGACAGAGGAATGAGATTGTTCGTTGCAAAAAACTGCATTCTTCTATTTACTATGGCGTTAAGGCTAACGCGCGCATCTATCGATCCGCAAGTTCAAGTTACGACAAAAAAATATACGAGTGAGAGAGAAGAAAAGAGAGAGAGAGAGGGGGAGAGAGAGAGAGAGATAGAGGATATACACATACATAGTTTTACGCTTTTCCTTCTACAATCTGTTTGTTCATTCGTTCATTCTCTCTCTTTCTTCTTCTTCTTATTTTTCTTATTCTCTAATAAGAACGTATCTACTTTTTTATTTTTTATTCTTATTTTTATAATTTTAAACAGACGAGAAGGAGGAGAAAAGCGCCATTGGTCTTTTCGAATGAAACAAAATAAAATAAAATAATAATAAAATAATAATAATAAAAAAAATTATTTAGTATCTCTTCTTGTTATTTTTCTACTTCTCTAGTTTCTTTTCTTTTTTTATTTTATTCCTACACTTACCATAACAAAATATTTTTTAACGAATTTTTTTTGACTCTTATGCACCCCTCCCTCTTCCTTTCTCACTTTCACTCTATGTTATTGTTGTTAAGTATTTGTAAAATATTACAAGTCGCAATTATACTTTAATAGGATTTTTCAATTCGCGAGTGACCGCCACGCGAGATTTAATATTTAAATATAATATTGGATTGCACTTTGGATGTCTGATAAATATCACAAAGAGCTTGTGCTCTCTACTAGTACCATTAATACAATAATAATAATATTAATAATATTAATAATATTAATAATAATAATTATAGTAATAATAATAATAATAATAGTCGTTCACTCGATAACGAACGTTTTCCTATAAACGTTTCCTATAAATCTTCTTCTTTTTCCATCCTCCTCCCCCTCCTCACCCCATCTTTCCTTTTTAGAGATCTATTTAGTTTATTTTTTTTTTTTACATGGGTTCTTTACGAACCCTTAAACTCGCGAGAGGAACTTGCGAATCGGTAGGGTAGAAAATAAAATATTTTAATTTCGATCACCTCCTTGTAACACATATATATGTATCTAGGTTTGTTTTTTTTAAGTATAAATATCATTGTTTTTTATATTTTTAAAAGATGGGAAACCAAATTTATTCTTACACGAAAACGTTTTGTTTGGATTTGAAGGGAAAAATGTTTATATATAAAAAATTAAAAGTAAATTTGAGTTCTTTTTTATTTCTATAGAAATGTAATATATGTAACGTGATTATATATATAAATTATAATTAAATTAAATATCGGATAAAATACAAAATTGAAATCATTTATCTTATACATTTTTACCCTTCGAATCGAACAATAAGGTAACGTAGGAAACATTTGATTTGATTTGTTTTGTTTAATGAAAAATATATAATATGTTCAAAAATCAATATATATATATATATATATATATATATATATATATATATTATGTATATTATATACGTGCTACTATTTTCCCACGTTCGTCAAAGAATTCGGATACAGATGAGGATTCGCAAAAGTCAATTCGAGAAAAGATAAAAAAAAAAAGAAAAAAAAAACGATATTCGATCGTGAAAATTGCACTATTTATTTTTTTGTTTTCCTTCTCGTCTTCTTTCTTCGGGAAATCCCCTTAAACACTCATTCCTTCCTTATTCTTCTTTCTCCATCGTGGTAATTTTCTTCAAATAATCCTCTTTTTCTCTTCCTCCCCTTTATAAATCCTTATCGATTTTTTCTCTCAGTATTATTTTCATGTGTTTCATCAATCGCATTTGATTTTCTTATTTTTTTTCTTCATTAAAATTTTTCATAATTTCTCCGACCAGCCAACCTCAGTGAACACAACACAACACGCGCAACACCCACCACGCACTTTTCTAATTTTCTTTTGCTTTAATATGTTGTGTGGTGTGCATGTGTGCATACGTGAGTGTGTGTTTAGTGGTCCACTGTCAGCTTTTCTATCACATGTGATAGGTTAAGAGAAAGCTTTCTCTCTCTTTCTCAATTGTATGGCCAGGAATGCCTTATTGACGTGACCACATTAGAGGTAGGCGGGTCTTCCGGGCGTCACTTTTTCATGTCGTTCATTAACGAACTGTCCTTGTTTTTATTCGTGTCAAGATTCGATTGTTGACTGCTTGTCACACCGCTACCATTCCCTGGATACATCTTCTCGAGATGATTCAGTGACTCGCTTAGGAACTTCTGCAATCATCAAAATTATCATCATTGTTAAATATATTACAGATATAATCTTCTTTTTGTTATGTTTCCACAACTATTAGGTCTACCGGAACAATTCTGTGCGTTCAAACAAACACTAGTTCAATTTTTTGTCACTAGGGGTAAGGCATATTTTTAAAATGGCGTTTACAAATTGCCGCCATGTTGGTAAGAAGTCAAAAATAATTTAAATTAATTAATTGTTTAAATTATGAATAATTTATTATTTTATTTTATTTTAAAAATGGACAAAATTTATATTTAGGTAGACCTAAAATATATATATATATTTTTTTATATTATTATATGCATATTAATATTAAGATAATAGTATATAATATACTATATATTAGTATTTAATTATATATTATATTTATAATATACTAAACTATTATATAATAATATATTATATATAATAAAATACTATATATATATAATATTATTATATAAAAATTTGTTCACAATATAATTTATTATTTATAATTTAAATAATATATAATTTATTCATAATTTATTTATATAACAAATATATAAAATATATTTAATATTTAATTGATTTAATAAATTAAATTATAATTTATTGAAAATATTATTAAAACTTATATTAATATAATTTTTATCATATAATATATCAATATACAATTATTTATGTAATAAGTTTAACCCTTTCGTTACTAGCGCCAACTATATCCGACATCTATATTACGACTCACGTATACAACTACCTACAAAATTCTAATTTACTTATATACTATTTTTTGAGATTTTCTATTGAGTTCTATTAACAATATATTTTCAAGAAACTTGTAATATATTTTGTATGTTAAAATAAATTGAAAATTATCATTATGCAACAACGTGCACACAACTTTTAGGTGTAACTATGAAACGAACTACCGTAACGAAAAGGTTAATGATCAACTGAGGAAAATAAATGTACAGGTAAATTTATTTATATATACCTGTATCGCCGTGAGAGCGGCAACGATCGCTGGACTACCAAATCCGTGCGATATGAGGGAGAAGTGCGTTAGATGTCTTTGTATACTCGGATCGAGTATGTGTTGTGGTCGTGTGTTACAGAGTGGTGATCTGTCCTGATTTAGAAGATCCATCAGCTCTTTGGTGATTTGTCTGAGGAATTGATAAATTTATGTAACAATTAAATCCATTCACATTCAAAATGAAACTTGTTTTTTTAAAATGATAATAATTGTCTTACTTGGTGGCATGAAGAAGTTCTTTTCTCCTGTAGGAATCTTGCGGTTCGCAATGTTGTCGACTGAGGTATTCTGCGACCTGTTTCGCAGGAAATTCCGTTTCACAAACGTAACCAAAATCTCTGGCAAGGTGAATTGCTTCTCCTAAAAAACAACAAACGTCATACATTTATTATTATTATTATTATTTTTATTATTATTTAATATCAGATTATACAGCAGAGAGTTTTCTCAAACTTTTTGTACGATGGAATATACTATGTGATTATTTTATGGAATAAATTAATAAGAAATCGATTAAAACAAGTTTAAAAGTAAACATGTTCTTTGCCATGTGTTCCACAGGTGGTACACGTTAAATCTGATCTTCAGGCCACGTGTACCACCGGTACACTTATTAGACAAATTTATTTTAAGCATTGAAAATCAAATGGTCTGAAAAAGTTAGACAAAAAGGGCTTGGTACGGAACGTGTTATAAAAGTTAAGCAAGTACAAATTGTAATTATGTAAAATAAAATTATAAATTATAAAAAAAATAAAAATTAAATTTTAAATAATTTTTATTATATTATATATAATATATTTATTATAATATATTTTATTATTTATATATAATATTATTATATATATTTATTATATATTTATATTAATAATAATATATATAATAATTATATATATTATTATACAGGGTGATCGGTAACTGGTGGTACAAGCGAAAAAGGGGTGATTCTACATGAAAAATAAATCGAAAATATAGAATAAAAATTTTTCGTTTGAGGCTTTGTTTTCGAGAAAATCGACTTTTAATTTTCGCACAGTACGCGTCTACTTGATCTGAAAAGTTCGTAGGGTATTTCCGAAAAGTTCGTAGGGTATTTCTGAAAAGTTCGTAGGTCCGTTATAACGAGACATGATGAAGTGCACGTGTACTTTGCGAGTGTGTCCAGATCGGTAAGAACGAATCTAAAAGAAAAAATGTGAACGAGTAAATAACCTGAACCAACTAATATATACTAAACAAGTTTCCGTTTGACAAGTTCACTTTAATGAACGCGCATCACATCATCAACGATGAAAGTATATTCCAACGGGGTTTGATATAATCAAAAGGATATGCGTCATTAACGCATTATGAATCTGACCGGAACGCTCATTTTTATTTTCTTTTTTTTTGTTAAACGTTATTATAACAGGATTTTCAGTATTATAGATTAGTATAGATTAGTATGGATTAAACTAATATATTTAAATAACGAAGATGATTTAATGACTTTAATTAAGAATCAGGATTTCATGGTTATCTTCAATTTATGTGAAAATTGAAGATAATTTCTCATATCAGTTAAATCATTTTGAACTTTCAATTCGATTAATTCCATTTAATTGTTTCATCAATTAAAATAAAAAAATATTATCATCGTATTTATCTTCAAAATATTATTTCATTTCCGTTTTTCCGTCGTTTCATTTATCAATCTTTCTTTCTCACTTTCTTTTTCAACGTGAAAGATTTATCTTTTATCCAGGAAGAATGAAAAAAAAAAAAGAAAAAACAAATAAACGTACAAACTTTCTCACCAAATTTTTCCAATTAAAATTCTCGAAGACAGCACACGAGGGAAACGAAAAGAGAACAACAACAACTTTGAAGTTAGGTTTTAGCGAATTTTTTTAATCAAATGATATCGAGAGAAAAAGAACGAGACGAAAATTGATTGCACGTCGGGATAGGGTTAAAGAACTTGACAATAAGGTAACGGCATAAGTACTTATATATGTATGTGTGTGTATGCGTGTGTGTGTACATAATCTGAAGAGTATTACGTCATCTTTTCTCTTTGCCGGTTAACCGATTGGACAACGAATTTACGCGCGTGAATCAGGTAGGTATATATACAGGTATGTATATGTATGTATTTGGATTGGTAAATATGTGTGTGTGTGTTATATACCAGGTGAATCAGGTTGGGAGAGATAGGTGTTACCTACACATCTGCCGTTTCGAGAGAATTCCCACACTTTCGCCTCACTCGAAGCAGCAGCCCCTTCGACTTCTCGAAGACACGATCGAGACGAAAGGATGTGTGTCTGGCTTTTACAGTTCTTTTACAGTTCTTATATATATAGATAATATATATCTTGCTTTACTCATTTCAAATACGATTTAACTATGAAAATGATTTTAATGCCAACGTCAAAGATACTTGAGTGTGTTCGTGTAATACGAGTAATATTTTTGAAACTTTAAAGATGGCGAGTATATTTTATATCTTTTTTTAAATAAATTTTCAACGAATCTAAAGAAGTTATTTGATTTAATATACAAGTTTAGTAAATTTATTTGTAAATATTGTAAATATCGTAAACATTTGAAAACTTAATGAGTAGTAATTTTTAATTTAATATACGAAAATTTGAATAAAAAATATTCGAAATACACTTGTGAAAATGTATTTCCAATATTTTAGTAATTACTTTTGCACTATTTATGCATTACTGTATAATTGCACTATATACAATAGACGGCGCTGTATTATAATTTTCGAAATTTTCATTTTTTAAGGTTAAGTATCTATTTCTATTTTCTTTTTAAAAACAAATCGAATTTTAGTTAAGAAAAGTATTGTTTCATTTTGACAAATATTAAAAAATATAGAAAAAAAAATTATACAGAAGTAGTAGTTTCTTTTTTCATTTTATAGGTTATAAGAACAAAAAATATCGATTATTTGATTAAACTTAAATAATTAGGTAACTCTAATAAAAAATAATGATAAAAGAAGTTTGAAACATTACGCTAATTTATTTCTAATTGAAATTCTCTGAAATTATTGTAAATTATTATTTTACTTTATTAACTATATTATATTATATTAGATTTTTTATTTATAATTGTTTGTCCGCGATAAACTTTGAAACTATTTTACCGATTTATATAAAAATATATTTATTTAATTTGATTTTTTTTAACTTAAAAGATAGAAAAGTTTATTTAGCAATTTATCATTTTTGTTGTTGTCAATTTACTGGTATATTATTTAATGTTATTTTAGTCCTTTGGTTCTGTTAGTGTACCGTTGATAGCGCTGCATTATAATTTTATAAATTTCAATTTAAAAATTTTAATTTTTGTGAAAATTTATTTAATTTTGTAAAGATAAAGAAAGATAAAATATAAGTTAATTTGTTAAAATCTAACCGTTGGATGTTTCGTGTTTAACGTATACCAGAAGATATTGTAAAGATAAAGTTGAAAGGTAAATCGAGTAAGATAGAATCGATGACACGTGCCGAACGACGAACGTATAAATCAGGTAGTTGTGTGTACGTGTTAATTCAGTCGCTTTTCTTGGTGCGAATCGAGAAATGGACGTTTATTGAAAGGTTTAAATTTACAATGCAGTCGTTGTCGAGTGAACGAGAGAGATAAAATGAAAGAATGAGAAAGAAAAAGAAACATAGTTCTATGCACTTTCTTAAGTTTTATCTCATTGTAAGTGACGTTAATATCTCACTGTTTTACGTTTCTACTTATACGAAGAAAATAAATATTGTGGTTGGTAATAAAGTCACGCGTTTTATATTTAACCTAGGGAATGAAATAATTCATTTAAGATGTAGATCAAAGACACTGATTAAAAAAATTTAATGATAAATTAACGACATTTAACGTTACTTTTACGTTACTTTTGATTAATGTGTCCAATTTTCTTCTGCATTCGATATAAATGAATAATAAAAAACATTTGTTTAAGGTTATAAAACTTTTCAACGAAAGAAAGAAAAAATACTGTTGTTATGGGAGTCATTGACTACCGATAAGGGTTAAGGAATAACCTAACCTAATAAAGGAAAAATCAAAGATAAAAATAAAATTACAAAATCTAAAATAAAATATAACTATAAATGTAAATATAATAATATAAATATTATTAATATAAATTTTATTTATTGGTATAATAAATTATAATATAATATAATATTAAATAATTATATTAATATAAAATATTATATTATAGTAATAATTTTAATATTATAACAATATTATAGTAATAATATAAAAATATAATTACAAAAAATGATGATTAAATAAAGTTGTATTTTTTGTTTGCAATATAAATAAAATTGGAACTCGAATTTTACACAGATAATTAGGGCTCGACAAAAATTGGGCAAATTTTTAAAATATCGGCATAATTCAAAGAGTTTTCAAAAGATCAAACTTTTCCTGAGTTAGTTGTTGTTGGGCGTATATTGTCTTTTAGCAAGTAAGAATAATAATAATAAAAAGGTTCCTATGGTGTTTTGTTTTGAGAGTCGTGGTAGGCGCGATGGAAGAAAGTTGTGGCTCACGGTGTTTTATGGTGGGGCCCAACACCAGCCATAAATTATAATCAACGTCCTGTACCCACGGGGTTCTGACGGGGGCCCACATAACGTAGCATCGTTAGAGTTTCGCCGATAGAAGAAGAGGAACGTGTGCCTTAAGATCTCTCTAAGGACCGTAATACGAGTGTGCGAGGAGGACGAGGAAGAAAACAAGACCATTAACCGCACGATCTCTTGGTACCTACTTACTACTCTCTTTCTTTTACTTATGTGGTTTAAAAAAAAATTTATTCTTGATTAATCGAGCTTAGTTTTGCTTCTTTAAAACAACGGAAGCGGAAGGAACGAGCAATGAAACAAAAAAACACACTACTGGGAATATTTCTCAAGTATTGATGATGATGACGTTATCAGTTAAAGACTTAACACGTCAAATTACTATCTTTTTATATATAAACATTCAGTGTTATATTAGTTGGTTTCGAAATTACTTAACCGATTTTAGGTTAGTAAAATTTTGTATATTTTGTGTGATTTATTTCAACTTGGTACATAGGATAATTTTTATTTTTTTATCGCTAATTTAAGGATTTCTTATTTGTAGGTTATCTAGATCTTTAAGTACTGAAATTTTGTATATAGATGGTGTTGTATTACAATTCAATTATTTCACGTTTTTTTCAGATTTACATATGACATAACTAACCTTACTTTTATTATTTTATTATTTTGTGTATGTTTTTATTTATATATTATATATTATATATTTATTATTTAGGGGTTATCTAAATCTTTATGTATTGAAAGTTTTTGATAGATGACGCTGTATTTTATTTGGTATTTTCTAAACGTCCATTATTGTTAAATAAAATCTTTTAAACGTTTCTACTCGAAACATTAACGATTTATAATAGGAGAGAAAAATAATTAAAAAAAAAAAGAGAAAAAGGACGAAGCTCGTAAAGTAAACGTACCTCTTACGCATTTCAAATTCCGCGGCTTCCGATTTCTGATTGAATTTACAATACCGATACTTACTACTACTAATACTATTACTATTATTATTACTACTATTCGCGGTATTAAATTTTTCGCTGGTTGCTTTTGCCCAGAGTGAATTAGAGAGGAATATATACGTACTTGTCGACAAAAGCCGACGGCGTCAGAAATGCCGGTGCGGTGACGGATTAGCGGCGGTATTATTTAAGGAGATGCAAATCTATCCTACGCGACGGTTATCCATAAATAACGGTTGGCAATAGCTACGACAGAAATTCATTGCACGAAAGAATTAAGAGCCATTCTTCTTTTAACTCCCTGGTATGCTCGAAGAAATGCGGGTCAGTATGTGTGTGTATGTATGTATGTATATGTACATGTAAGGGAAATAAAAGAAAACTTTTAGTTAAATAACGTTAACGTTTGTGCGTAATATTGTAAATTAAAAGGAGACTAGAGGAGAACTTGCAATTCTCTTTAGGGAAAATCTTGAAATCTTTAAGAAAAATTTTCCTTGATTCGTTTAACGTATTTTAAATCTTTTACAGAAGGTTGTTCATACACAAGATAAATTAATGTAAATTGGTTTAATACAGGAAAAGTCGGTTCAACGAATATGTTTTATATTTAAATGGAATATAAATCGTTTTGAATGATTCTAACCTATAAACGATTAGTAATAATATTATTATTTGACCTAATATTTTTTTTTAATGTGAAATATTACAAATTTAATGCCGTACCTTCTACCAAGGATATTAAAATACAGAAAAAGTTGGTTTACTGAATTTTTATTGTATTTTTTATATTTTTATGAGATAAAAATCGAAACGTTTTTAATTATTCTAACCTATAAACGATATGTAGTAATATAATTATTTTAAATATGAAATTTTATAAATTTAATGACGTACCTTCTACCAAGGATGTTAATAGTGTGACATTGGCAGCCTTCCTTCTACCGGCTGGCAGATTTAGACCAATCTTCTCTAATTTTTCCCTTAACAATCGTCCACCATTTTTAGACTTCGCTCTGTAAATAGCAAAAACAAAAACATTAACACATAATAAACAAAAAGATAAAAAGAAAAAGAGCAAAAGACAAATGCAATATTAGTTTAAATATACAGGGTGTACCACCTAAAATCTTGTACCACCTAAATAGCTTTGAAAGTATGAAAGTTACAGAAAAGTTTATTAAAAAAAAGTTGCATAAAAAATCTATGACTGTAATATGAAGTTAGTTTTAGTTTTGTTTTGTTAAGTTCAGTATTTTTTGAGATTTATAGTTGCATGAAAAATTCAGGACTTATGTTATATGTAAATGACGTTAGTTTTTTTTTTTTTACTAGGTTCTGTAACTTTCGAGATTTTTAGGTTAACTTTACTTTTTTAAATACAATGATATATTTTAATATTTATTTTCTACATATATATATAACATATTTTATTTGTAAAAGTATATGTTCTTTGTTTTCTTTTCGAAAGATCGATTAATCGGAATAAACGAACGAGTATATGTGTTTATGTGTGTGTATGTGTTTGAAGTAAACGCAAGCGAACGTTTAAAGCATCATCATCGACCTTCACAGCTATAAGAAGACTTTCGAAATTCTTAGTTGGTTCATTAATCATTTTTGCGGCGATGCTTACAAAAATAAAAATAAAAAAAATAAATAAATCAACTAATGCACGTAGAGAAAGAGAAAGAGAAAGAGAAAGAGTAAGAGAAAGAGAACAGTAAGTAATATAAGAAGAAGAAGGAAGATGTTGTTTGGAAAGTGGGAAGGACAAAAAGAGAAAAATGAAAGAAGACATGAACAAAAATTAGCATAATCTGCGCAGGCTTCTCTACAATGTATGTGTGTATGTATATGTGTGTGTAATCGATGATTGAGCAATTCGAGAGCAACGCGTTTATGAGTACAAACAAAAAATGGCAATGAAAGGACAACGAAAGGACAACGAAATATACTCAACTGACTTAGTGTAAGTATAGAAAAATACATCCTAGATAAATTTCTTTAATAAAAAAAAAACTATGTATATATATATATATATATATTTTTTTTTTTTTAATTGGTTAATTTTTTTAATTAATTCTATATATTCTATATACATATTTTTTTGTTTCTTTTTTAACATTTATTTTTAAATTAATAAAAAATTATTAATTTTAAATAAATAATAAAATATATATATATATAGTTCTCTTCTATTAAAGAAATTAATGGAATATAAATTGTTTGTAATTATTCTAACCTATAAACGATAAGTAATAATATAATTATTTAACAAAGAAATCTCTCTTCTATATATCTATATATATATATATATATATATATATATGTATAGAAAGGTAAGAATTACGATAGTTGTAAATAACGGTAGTCTCGAACGGATCGAATAGGGAAAGGGCGGTGTACCTGCCGGAAGGGCAACATAAATGCATACTAAATTACTTGCCTAAGTGGAGGATCAAAGAATATATCTTTGATTCATTTTATCTTTTAAACTAAATTGTCTGGTTTAGAGGTTATTTTTGACGAAATACGATATGTAATATATTAGGAGGATTGAAAAGTAATGTCGAGCTACTACGCACGTCAAATTTCTATATTAATATTTTAATCAAAAAAGTGATTGATGATTTTTATAGTTACAATATTAAAAATTTGCATAGCAGATAGAAAAAGGTTGTTAATAACGTGATTAATGAATTTAATTAAATAATTTGATTATTGATTAATAAAAAAAACTTGTTTAAAAAATTAATTCGTTTGAATTTTGAGATTAAAAGCAACGTTACTTTCTGGTCCACCTAATATAATTTAAATAAATAATAAATATTGTAAAAAAGGAAGAATTTTTAACACATGATTTATTTTTTTGTTCAAAAATGTTTGTTTCATTCTTCATATTGTATTTTTGTAATGGTACACGCATGTCCAAAAATATATACGTTAATTTATCATTGAAATTTACATCACTTCAAGTACGATATTTTATGATGACGAATTAATAAGAAATATACTTTAATAACACGTTACGTTATATCAACGTTTTTTTATTTCCATTTTTAGGTGTTTTTTTTTAATAACGAACAGATTAGAGTATGAAATATTAACGAGGATTTATATATACGATGATAAAATACTAATAAAGGTGTGTGATTTTTTCATTCGGTCTTTTGCGTTGACTTCATTCAAATTTATTACGATAAATTTTCGTGGCAATTATTTTTTACACGACACTATGAATTATTTGTAATTTTGTTCTTGTTTTCTTTTTCCATATTTGTTTATTAAGTGTAATTTATAAATATTAATATATTATATCGTTAACAGAATATTACTTGCAATCATGTTAATATAATTGTTTCATACTAATTATAAGAGACATGTTATAATTATATAATATTTTTATTACAAAATACTTCATCAAGTATATGAACATGTCTAGCATATTTATATATAAGTTTTTTTTCAACTTACAAAAGTAAATACAGTGTTAAATAATAATAATATTATATATTATATAATATATCTAATATAGTGTTAGTACATAGGATAGTTTTTATCGCTAATTTAAGGATTTCTTATTTAGAGGTTATCTAAGTCTTTAGATACTGAAAGTTTTCAATAGATGGTGCTGTATTACAATTCAATTATTTTGATATATATATATATACGTATCACTTATTGACGGTTGTTTCTTGAGTACGTGACAAGGATTAAGATTCGTTGATTATGGAAACTCGTCTCGAAGGAAGGATTCTCATCCTTTTCGAGTATTCGAGATATTATTCGAACCCTTCGCAACTTATAGTTAGTTTCTCTCCCTTTTAGGTGAAATTTCTGGAAACACTACTACTCTCCTTCACTACTGTGATTATTCAAGAATGTAATTCTTGGATAATATCGTTGCACATCGTTAAGTTAAAATAGCAACATGATATTAATAAATGAAGAATTGTTTTTCTTCCGTATTTTAATTTGTGTAAAAAATTATTCATTTGAGAATCGTTTTAATTGTGCGTACATACGTACGTGCATGTGTGTGCATGTTTCTGAATGTGTATGCGTATGTAAATATGGGTTTTTTTTAAACAAATCATTGGAAAAATTTATAAGAATCTTAATATTGTATAATATCATGTTAATTGTATTGTTCAGCTTCGGAACAAGTATTTCCAGAAAGTCGAGATTTCTAACTAGTCGATTATTCTCTAGGCATCCTTGAATACCTGTGTATCGTTAATCGCAAATGGCTCTTGGCTGACATTAGCAAACCGAAGGACTTTCTACAATCATGACCCAACGAGAGAGGCTCAAGTAAATGGGCTTTCTTGAGAATGCTTTGAAGACGATCGTGTTATTGATGTACATATCTTTTTTTAGAAAATTGTTCTAAATTCTTAACCATCTGGAAATATATAAGCTCATTATTATATAAGTTATCTTATTTAATTACAATTTATATCAATTCGTCAGACAATAAAAAGACCAAGGAAATAAAATAAAACGAAAATAAAATCATTTTGTAATATAAAACTATCTTTGAGATTAGATCAAAATAAAATATATTTTACCTAAGTTAAAAACATTAATTATTTCTATTTTTTATTGCTAATTTAAAGATTTATTATTTAGAGGTTATCTAAGTCTTTAAGTACTGTAAGTTTCCAATAGTTGGCGTTGTATTAGAATTCAATTATTTCACGTTTTTTTCAGATTTTTGTGACATAACCTAATATTGCTTTTTATATTTTTTTGTGTATAATTATTTTATGTATTTTGTTATAATTGTGGTATTATTTTGTGTGCTGTTATTTATATGTTATATATTTATTATTTAAAGGTTATCTAAGTCTCTAGGTACTATAAGTTTCTAATAGTTGGCGCTGTATTATTTCACGTTTTTTTCAGGTTTGCATATGACAAAACTAACCTCACTTTTTTTATTTTTTTGAGTATTATTATTAATTATAACAACATATAAAATAATAGTAAATTATTTCTAAATAGTTTAGAATTACTTTATTACTATATATTAATATACAACTAACATATAGTTGTATATTAAATCAACATTTTATAACAAAGCCACATCAACACATGACCGAAACATCCTAGTATAGGATATATCCTATATATAGAGAGAGAGAATATCTATGATATCAAATCAGAGCAATGCGTGTAATTATCAGTCCGATAACTATTCAAATGGATGAATTATATCACATGATGTGTGAGCTGTATCGTGACAAGGGAGACAGCAAGATGAGCAACAAGATTGCACTTGGGTATCCTTACGAGATTATGCCTGAGGCTCAGTTTGCATGGAATTGACACTCGAAGCTATGAAATTATTAATATCTCATTTGCATGAGTAACATATATTGATGTCGGTTTATATTGCTACTTTTTCTTTTCTTCCTTCCTTCATTCTTTCTTTATTTATTTATTTCTTTTTATTTCTTTCTCACTCTCTGTCGATTGTGAGACTTCTTTGAAGTTGTAAGTAATGAAACATCTTTCTTACACTTGCCCCAGGTTCTTCTCCTTCTTCTTCTTCTTTTTACAGAGGTGTTAAAGCTCGCCATTTTCTTTTATTATCCTGAATAATACGTTCAATTTCTTCTTCATTTTGCGTTGATTTTTCTTCCTCGAAGGTATATAAAACGAAAAAGATAAAATCTATATATATTCAAGGAAAAGTCTCGGTCAATTACCAAGATCTTTGTAAGATTTTACATGGAAACCCATTATCCTCAAAAGGGAAAAATTATGGGAATGGTCGTTTGGGGCGGCACTTATGGTCAATAATTTTGTTACTCAAAAGATTACGGAACTTTCTTAAGATAAAATATCGTCAAATGAATTGAGTGTTTACGAGAGTGTCATGTATTTTTTTATGTGTATGTATATGTGTATACATGAATTTACTTTTATACAGGTATGAGGAGGTTGGGGGAGGGGGGTTTCTTTTACACGTGATTATAGTAGTTTCTTAGTACGTATATCTTTTGCAAGTTGTTGGTTGCATATTCTGTTTAATACGCATAATATAATATGCGTAACTACCAACACTGACATATCCGGCCGATTCCTCTGTAAAACGATTTATCCGTGCCTTCGTTGATAAAACATTGCGCAACTTATATATGTATGTGTGTGTATGTGTTGCCCTGGTACTCGAGTAAAATGGTGAATCAGATAAAGCAAAAGGAGAGTTCGTTCGTACGGGCGTAACAGAGAAACTCATAAATCAGGTGGTACCTTGTGTGTCTTGTGTGTGTTGTGTTTCGAATACATGACGGGTATGGGCCAATGTAGATTCACCAGTTTATTAATTAACTTCGTAGATAAAGACGCGTAACGGTGAATATCCGATATTATTTTAGTTTTTTTTTGCAATGTATTCTTTATCACGAAAGAAAAATATATATATGTAAATATGAGAGCTTTCACTTCTGATAAAATAATTTTCTTGGAAACAGAGTTACATTTTGAAATTTCAGATCAATTGGTATCAATTAATAATGGTGAGAAATTATACTTTGTATTTTTGGTTTTGTGTTTCTTGTTATAGTAGGTAATTATTATAAATTATTATTTATATATTATATATATTTATAATAATTACACAGTAATATTATATACGGTATATATATATACGGTGTTGTACTTATTTTTAATAATTAATAAAAAATAATAATACGGTAATGATTTATATAATTTATATATAAATATGTATATTAAATTATATATAATAAATACCCTATTATTATTATTTATTATATATATTTTTTATAATTATTATATATATCATTAGTTATTAT